GGCAACACAGTGAGATTCTGTCTCAAAAAAAAAAAAAAAAAAAACTAAAAAGCTCATCTGACCATAGTAATAAGTGGGCTAATTGCCAAAACTTAGGAGTAACGTTGTTTAAACCTTTTTCAAAAAATTGTGTGCATAAAACTATTGTAATAATCATCAAAGTCATTCAAAATAGAATGCTCCCTCTGAAAGGAAGTTACAGCATCACTGTATTTATAGAAGAGGAAGCAGCAAAGGTATCCATCTGGAAGTGAATTTCACACTGTGAAATCAACCCACGTAAGAAAAGCCAAAATGCAGCATTATTTCCAGATTATTTAAAAGGAAAGTTGGAATATTACAGAGTTAAACTTTTGTATAACATATGAATTTTGACCCAATATGTTTAAGTTAGCAAAAAGTCTTAGAGTTGGTATAAAATGATGTGTGCCCAAATCCCACCCACTACCAGATCAAGACACTGAAGCTGAGAATGATTCTTTCCTCATTTTACAGCTTTATTCTTGATTTCCTTCTAAAAAGCCACCAAAATAACTGCGGAGCTGACTCATACCTATAGATTAAGTAGCATAGTTAAGTAACAAAAGTACCATAGTCACATAACAAAAGCCAAAAAAAAAAAAAACAATTGTTTTACCTTTCACCTGCTGATGTGATATACATCACAAGTAAACATAGCTGAGCATCCATGAGCTGATTGCACTAACCTCTGTAGAATTTTAGAATTGAGCACATCTGAGTATATGGATACTCGTTTACCTCACAAAGTAAAAGCAAGCATTGTCTATTTTAAAGTTTTTATTTCTATGTAAATTAAAGACAGAACTCCTACAGGTCAAATAAGAAAAATATACCAGACTCAAAGCACTATTATGTCATGAAACAAAGAAGAATCTGAGGTAGAGTCAAACAATATAATCCACAACATTTTTAGGTATTCCCAGTAACCATTACATCTCCCTAGTAAGATCTATTAAAAATAAAAAGTCTCAAGTTCAAAAAAATCAATAATCCATTCTCTAAAATCAGATGTAACACTATGACCAAAAGAAGACACAGAAACTTTTGTCATGTTAACAAAGATAATGGTTTTACTAAAAGCTTCCAACAGTTCTATCAGTAGTAACCATAAGGAGGTCGTTGGTTGTAACCATATTGTCCATACTGGTGAGGATAGCAAGGTTCTTGTCTGTGTGGTGGGTAATTGTTACCCCAGGGTCGTCCATGCCACTGATTGGATCGATTGTCACTTGGCCACCCCCGTCTGCTATCCCCTCCTCTAAACTGTCTGTTATCTTGTAACCTATAACAAAACAAAAGGTTTTTAAACTTCCCTTGTAAAAAAAAAACACATGACAAATCTATCCCAATGCATTTGGTTTCTCAATCTAATACACAGTAAATGAGAGTAAAAAACATTTTTGCTACAGAATGTTATAGCACCAGTTATTCAAAACTTTCCTAATATTTAAATCATTCTTCCAGTAGTACACTGGATACACTTTAAAGAGAAATAAGCAGACTACAAAAAACCCAAACCAATAAGATAGTTCTAATTTAAACTGAAATCTATTCAATTGTACAAAAGCAGTATGGTAATTTATTCCTTTGAATATTTTGAATTATTAAACAGAAGTAATTTCATTTTGTAAACTTCTTTCTAAAGTAAAACTAAAACAATGTCTTCTTTATGGAATCAAATACAAAGTTTTACAAGATTCTACATTTTAAAGTATATTTGCAAAGAAAGTATTAGTCTACAGAAAGAACATTTAAAAACAACATGAAAACACACACAGACACACAACTGAACAGCAACGAAAAGAATATATGGTGCTGACAAAATAATAAAACATATATTTATTAAGCACTTACTATGTGCCAGGTACTGTTACTAGGCATTAGGTATACCGTACTGAAAACACTGGTTGCTCCCTCACTGGCCTTATGGTTTAGCAGATTAAAGCTAGCCTCTCCCACATCAACCATCTGCATTTATTCTTCCAAAGTGACACATACCGATTGCCTCTATTTCTTTGGTTCCCACCAGCTCTGCTATTCCATTCCTCGACAACTGGAGGGGACTCAGGAGGGCGTTTCAGGTATTCCTGGTACTCTTTGTCATCTTCTGTGAATCTGCTGGCAAACATCTCTTCAAAATTTGAAACAGCTTCAGAAATGTCAGTCATTCTGAAATTCTGTACAGTTTTTAAGATATTTCTATTAGAAAAATGTAAAAATAGCACTGTCTTACCAGATAATGAAAAACCAAGAAGTAAACAGTTTTAGGCAGGGTATTCACAGAAGTCTTTGTGTACTTTCAAACTTAAGACAGATTTCAAACATTCAATTCAATGTTTCTTGACTACAGTGTTGCAGGCGTTGTGCTAAGTAGGAGCCTGGGATGCGAAGATGACCTATATATCATGGACTCTGCCCCCAAAGTTCTCCCAGTCTAGTGGAAGAGATAGATACAGTATAAATATAAGAGGAGAAGCAGAAGAAGATATCAAGAAATGAGGCTGGAGAGGTAAGCAGGGGTCAAATCGTGAAAAATTTTGTATTCAACATAAACAGTTTTGCACTTTTTCTGGTAGGCAATGAGGTATCATATATGGTTTCAGCACGGAAGTTTCAAGATCACATTTACTATTTAGAAGGATCACTTTTCTAACAAGTTTAAGAATATATTAGTGAGATTATACTAAAGGCAGATTATTGCAATAATGTAGGTAACACGCTGAAGGCTTAATCTCAGGCAGGGATTGCAAGAATGGTTTTAAAAGAATTCCAGGAGGAATTAATCACTGACTAGATGTGAGAGTAGAAGGGGGAATAAACTCCCAGCCTTCTGGCATGAATTATAGCACCATGGAACTACAGGAAGAAAGGTTGGTGAGGGTACACACTGAGTTTCAAGTTACCTGGTACAAACATCCAAATGGAGAGTCAGCTCACAGTTAACTATTTGGGACTGAGAACTGGGTTGAAGATGAATATGGGAGACGTCGGCAATTTTGCTGGTGGTTAATCCTGTAAGAATAGATGAAATTCCTCAAGAAGAATGGGAAATAAGAGGAGTATCAAGGTTTAAGCCATACTACCCTGAACATGCCCAATCTCATCTGATTTCAGAAGCTAAACAGGGTTGGGCCTGGTTAGTACTTGGATGGGAAGAAGAGTATCAAGGAACAGAATCCTGGAAAACATCAACATTTAAAGAATAGTCAAAGATAAAGAAGGGGCTGGGCATGTTGGCTTATGCTGGCTTTGAGAGGCCAAGGCAGGAAGATCATTTGAGGCCAGGAGTTCAAGACCAGGTTGGGCAACAGCGAGACCCCATCTCTACAAAAAATCTAAAAATTAGCCAGGCACAGTGGCACTGCCTGTAGTCCTAGCTACTCAGGAGGCTGAGGCAGGAAGATGACTTGAGCCCAGGAGTTTCAGGCTGCAGTGAGCTATGATCGTGCCACTATACTCCTGCCTGGGTGACAGAGAGAGACGCTGTCTTTAAAAAGAAAGAAAAAAAGAAGGATAAAAGAGGAGAAAACACACTGTTAGATAAGAGGCAAACCAGATGAGATTATTATAGAAGGCAAGAGAATAAAGAGTCGTCAATAGTGGCAAATGATACAGTAATAGAAAGAACCAAAAAGAATTAATTGGTTGTTTCCTTATGTTGAGAAAAAAAAAGAATTAATTGGGTTTAGCCACTAGTAGATGGTTATTTTGGAGTAGTAGGGATTGAAGCAAGACTGCAATTGATTGAAAAGTACCTAGAAGGTAAAGAAATAGAAATCTACACTGAGTGTAGATAAAACTTTAAAGAAGCTTGGCTAAAACAGGAGCAAGGCCGGGTTCAGGGGCTCATGCCTGTAATCTTAGTACTCTGGGAGGGCAGAGTGGGAAGA